AAACTATTGGGATCGTCTCAAAGCCCTCCAAATGTTCTCACTAGAAAGAAGACGAGAGAGATATCAAATAATATACACCTGGAAGATGCTGGAGGGCCAAGTACCAAATCTACACAGTAAAATAACAACGTACTGGAGTGAACGACATGGAAGAAAATGTAGAATAGAACCAGTGAAGAGCAGAGGTGCCATAGGCACAATCAGAGAACACTGTATAAACATCAGAGGTCCGCGGTTGTTCAACGTCCTCCCAGCAAGCATAAGAAATATTGCCGGAACAACCGTGGACATTTTCAAGAGGAAACTAGATTTATTCCTCCAAGGAGTGCCGGACCAACCGGGCTGTGGTGGGTATGTGGGCCTGCGGGCCGCTCCAAGCAACAGCCTGGTGGACCAAACTCTCACAAGTCAAGCCTGGCCTCGGGCCGGGCTTGGGGAGTAGAAGAACTCCCAGAACCCCATCAACCAGGTATCAACCAACCAGAGGAGGATAGTATGAAGCTACAAGATGACCTAGACAAACTGAAGGAATGGTCCGACAAATGGCTACTAAAGTTCAACCCAAGTAAATGTAAGGTAATGAAACCTAAATGTAAGGTAATGAAACTAGGCAGAGGAACTAAGAGGCCAGTCACTGGATACGGAATGGGAGATGAAGTCCTTCACGAAACGGACAGAGAGAAAGATATTGATATCACGCCAAACCTGTCTCCTGAAGCCCACATCAAAAGAATAACATCAGCGGCCTATGCGAGGCTGGCTAACATCAGAACTGCTTTCAGAAACCTGTGTAAGGAATCCTTCAGAACCTTGTATACCACATATGTAAGGCCAATCCTGGAGTATGCAACCCCAGCATGGAGCCCATATCTAGTCAAGCACAAGACTAAGCTGGAAAAAGTTCAGAGGTATGCCACTAGGTTAGTCCCAGAACTAAAAGGCATGAGCTATGAGGACAGACTACGTGAACTGCACCTCACGTCACTGGAAGACAGAAGAGCTAGGGGAGACATGATCACCACATACAAAATTCTCAGGGGAATTGACAAAGTGGACAAGGATGGATTATTTAACGGGTGGCACACGCACAAGGGGACACAGGTGGAAGCTGAGTACCCAAATGAGCCACAGAGATATTAGAAAGAACTTTTTCAGTGTCATAGTTGTTAACAGATGGAATACATTAGGCACTGATGTAGTGGAGGCTGACTCCATACACAGTAGCCTGGTAGCCTGGTGGATAGCGCGCAGGACTCGCAATTCTGTGGCGCGGGTTCGATTCACACACACACACACACACACACACACACACACACACACACACACACACACACACACACACACACACCGACATCGTCTACCATGACAGGTGGAGGCAATATTGGTGAGGACAAAATATAGACCAATGTAATAGATGTTGTTGTTGTCAGTGGTGGCGTGACGGACCACATCGTGACGGGGAAAAGTGAAACTCGGAATCACAACTCCTATGATTTGTTGGGGCGGACGTGTTGGTGCTGTAAACTGATGAGTTGTTGAGAGTAAACTGGCGGAGTTTTTTATTATTATTATTTTCTACCACAGACGTGGCCAGACATTTACAATGCTAACTAGCATATATACATTTTATTCTGTTCTCCATGGACAGAAGTGTTAAACATATAGTTCAAGGATTTGTTGAACAATCAACCACAGAAGGTGATTCGGTGCTTTTAAAATGCTAAGCTAACCTACATACGTAAATACATAGATACACAGATTTACGTATGCCCTACATAAAGTGTTTGACGTGTCTTTTACATAGTGTCATTAATGTGCATTTACAAAGGTGAAATGTAATTCTGATCAGCTTCCATATGTACTTTATACACATACATATCCATACACACACACATATACGTACATATACATATATACACACACACATGCATTCACATACATTTGTCTCTTTTACTCTGACAGGGTGAGATAGCTGACAGAGAAACTAGTGTGCAATTAAGCACTTAACCACTGAAGGTGATTAAGGTGCTTTTACAAGCTCAGGTTATATAATTACATCACATACATACATTGTATAGTTGATACATTACATGGTTAATCTTGGGTACAAGTCCAATATATAATCAAGTGTTCCAGTACTCATATAGTAATTACACAGTTCAGCATACCTTAGCCCAGGAGGGCGAAAGTCAGTCAATATGGGACATTCTACAATATAATGTTCAAGAGAGTGCATGTTTTCTCTTTCACAAAGTTGACACATTGTGTACTCGACATTTGGGTTTTGAGAAAGCTGCCAGATACGTCTATATCCCAGGCGTATTCTGACCACTATAACATCACATTACCGGGTTCTTGTTCTATTAGTCCCATATGTGAATGTCTCCTCACGATATCTATCATAATATTTAATGCTACAACTTTCAGGTCTTTGTGAATTTGTTAGGTCGATGAGATCTTCATTAGATATTTGTTTAAGTATTCTCTTTGTCACTGCTAATGAAACACCCATATCAATTTCTACCACTGGTTTTCTGCAGGCTGTCTTTGCAAGCATATCAACAGTGTCATGCCTTGAGATGCCAACATGTGATGGTAGCCATAGGAATTTAATTTCAAATCTGTTTTCTTTAGAAGCTAAAACATTCATTCGAATATCACTGACTATTTTCTGGGTGTCACTACTATGTGCGTTCAATGCCAGGAGTGCACTCTGCGAGTCACAGTATATAAGTCCACTGCCTTTGTCTTTTAAAAATTTAGTGGCAAGGTATATGCCTGCAAGTTCGGTTTGAGTTGTACTTGCCCAGTCATTGACGCGCTTCATTGCTGTATGTACGAGAGAAGATTGTTCAAATATATTACATGCACATCCGGTACATCGACCACCTTCTTCTACAGAGCCGTCGGTATAGTACTGATACACATCGTTACCCCCATACTGGTGGAGTGCTGGAGAGGCAAACTGGTGTTGGTGAGGTAAACTGGTGGAGTGCTGGAGAGGTAAACTGGTGTTGGTGAGGTAAACTGGTGGAGTGCTGGAGAGGTAAACTGGTGTTGGTGAGGTAAACTGGTGGAGTGCTGGAGAGGTAAACTGGTGTTGGTGAGGTAAACTGGTGTTGGTGAGGTAAACTGGTGGAGTGCTGGAGAGGTAAACTGGTGTTGGTGAGGTAAACTGGTGGAGTGTTGGTGAGGTAAACTGGTGGAGTGTTGTGAAGTAAACTGGTACAGTGTTGGTGATGTAAACTGGTGGAGTGCTGTGAAGTAAACTGGTGGAGTGTTGGTGATGTAAACTGGTGGAGTGTTGTGAAGTAAACTGGTACAGTGTTGGTGATGTAAACTGGTGGAGTGCTGTGAAGTAAACTGGTGGAGTGTTGGTGAGGTAAACTGATGAGGTAAACATATTTCGCGAAAGGTTTCGACAAATATTTCCATGGTGTTACTGAAAAAACAACAAAAGTTCACTAAAGGAATTACTGACAAGCTAGGGAGATGTATCTTTAATTTTCTAACAAATAACATCCAGGGTGTAAGAGTCAATAAATTTAATCCGTATCATCCGTCGTGAAGAGTCCCCCAGGGTACTGTGCTTGCTCCGGTACTCTTTCTCATCCTCATATCGGACATGGGAACAAAGACACAAGCTATAGTACTGTATTGTCCTTTATAGATGAGAAACAAAAATGAGCAGAGTTTCTTTCAACTTGATGCCCCTGTTACCTAGCAGTAAATAGGTACCTGGGAGTTCAGACAGCTGTTTACTGTGTGTGTGTGTGTGTGTGTGTGTGTGTGTGTGTGTGTGTGTGTGTGTGTGTGTGTGTGTGTGTGTGTGTGGAAAAAAATAGTGACAGTTGAGAGGCGGGCCGAAAGAGCAGAGTTCAACCCCCGCAAGCACAACTAGGTGAATACACACACACACACACACACACACACACACACACACACACACACACACACACACACACACACCGTTGATTGACGGTTTAGAGGCGGGACCAAAGAGCCAGAGTTCAACCCCAGCAATCACAACTAGGTGAGTTGTACTCACCTAGTACACCCACACACACATACATTCATACATACATACATACACACCCACCCCCCACCCACCCAGGAAGCAGCATGTAACGGCTGTCTAACTCCCAGGTACCTATTTACTGCTAGGTGAATACGGGTATCAGGTGAAAGAAACTGCCCATTATGTGTGCCTCACCGAGAATCGAACTCGGGGCCCTTTAGACAACGACCCCCGGACCTCTCGGCTGTGATTCCAAGTGTAACACGTATGGTTCACGTAAACAACCTGTATAATATATATATATATATATATATATATATATATATATATATATATATATATATATATATATATATATATATGTGTGTGTGTGTGTATATCACGAAAATAAACACGTGATTAAGAATGTGACAATGTCAGACCACGGAGGAAAAATGAAACAGGAATTTCCTTAAGTACTTTCGTATATTAAATACATCTTCAGAAGGTCCGACCTTCTGAAGATGTATTTAATATACGAAAGTACTTAAGGAAATTCCTGTTTCATTTTTCCTCCGTGGTCTGACATTGTCATATATATATAATATGCAATTGACGATCACAAAACACTGATCATTTTATGCGGAAAATCCACAAAGAAATATGAAATGAGGTGAACGTTTCGGCTCTGTTAAAGCCTTTGTCAACACCAGACTGACTCTCGACTAGTCAGTCTGGTGTTGACAAAGGCTTTAACAGAACCGAAACGTTCACCTCATTTCATATTTCTTTGTGGATTTTCCGCATATATATATATATATATATATATATATATATATATATATATATATATATATATATATATATATATATATATATATACATATATACGTGTACGTATTGATACCTCAACAAAATCTAAATTATTATTTGATATTGTTTAAATGTATAATTCCACTGTGGATGGATGTATATGGGTGTTAACGGAAGGTTGTATTTGCAGAGTAAGGCGTGCGCCTCGGTGCTACTGGAGCAGGTGTGTCGCCAGCTGAACCTGCTCGAGTCCGACTACTTCGGCCTCGAGTACACCGACGGCAACACCCGCTACTGGCTCGACCTCGAGAAGCCCATGAGCAGACAGGTGAGTCTACTTCCCTTGTTTGTGTGCCTCTGTCGGCACCCCTGGTGGGGACCGACTCATAGTGTGAGTGGTGGCTGGGTGCTGGCTGGCTGGGGTGAGTGGTGGCTGGGTGCTGGATGGGTGTGGAATGGGTGGGTGCTGGCTGGGAGGGTAATAGATAAGAAAAACAGAACGCACATGTGGTATACACGGACTTCGGAAAGACATTCGACAAATGTGACCATGGAATGATAGCTCACAAAATGAGGTCAATGGGAATAACTGGTAAAGTAGGACGCTGGATACTCAGTTTTCTGTTTACAGAACACAAAGAGTAACGGTCAACCATATAAAATCGAGTCCAAGCGCAGTAAAAAGCTCTGTACCTCAAGGTACAGTCCTTGCACCACTGCTTTTTCTTATTCTCATATCAGATATTGACTCAAATACAAGTCACAACTTGGTATCATCCTTTGTAGATGACACAAAAATGAAAAATCCCTTTGCTGATGACATTGAAAAACTACAATCAGATATTAATAAAGTTCTCGACTGGGCAGCAGACAATAACATGATATTTAACAGTTATAATTTCCAGGTACTCAGGTACGGCAAAATTGAGAACCTTAAACATAATACAGAGTACAAAACGCAATCAAATTTGCCCATAGCAGGAAAGCAACATGTAAAGGATTTGGGAATAATGATGTCTGACGACCCAACGTTTAGGAAGCATAACCAAGCAAATATTGCGTCAGCCAAAAAAATGATAGGATGGATTACGAGAACTTTCAAATCCAGGGATCCCATCACAATGGTTGTACTCTTCAAGTCACTTGTGTTGTCCCGTCTTGAGTACTGCTCAGTACTCACTTCCCCCTTCAGAGCAGGAGAGATTGCTGAAATAGAGGGAATATAGAGCATATACGGCATACATAGACGAGATAAAGCACCTAAATTATTGGGATCGTCTCAAAGCTCTCCAAATGTACTCACTAGAAAAGAGACGAGAGAGAGATCAAATAATATACACGTGGAAAGTACTGGAGGGTCAGGTCCCAAATTTACACAGTAAAATAACAACGTACTGGAGTGAACGATATGGAAGAAAATGCAGAATAGAACCGGTGAAGAGCAGGGGTTCCATAGGCACAATCAGAGAACACTGTATAAACATCAGAGGTCAGCCAGTTCTGAATTATAGGAAACACAGAGAACATTTCCCTCTGAATTCGATGGTATACAGAGAACATATACGGCACGCATATAAACGATAATTAAACATCTAAATTACTGAGACCGTCTCACAGCTCTCAAAATGTACCTGCTTGATGGGGTTCTGGGAGTTCTTCCGGCCCGAGGCCTTTCTTGGGGACTCGGTCCTCTTTGGAAAGGAGACGAGAAAGGTACCAAATAATATACAGTATACATGGAAGACACTTGAAGGACTGGTCCCAAATTTGCACAGTAGAATAACAACAAAGTGGAGCGAAAGATACAGAAGAAAATGCAGAATAGAACCAGTGAAGAGTAGAGGTGCCATAGGCACAATCAGAGAACACTGTTTGAACATCAGAGGTCCACAGTTGTTCAACACCCTCCCAGCAAGCATTATAAATATTGTTGGAACAAAGGTGGATGTATTCAAGAGGCACTTAGATTAGTTCTTACAAGAAGTGCCGGACCAGCCAGGCTGTAGTGGATATGTGGACCCGCAGGCCGCTCCAGCAACAGTCTGTTGGACCAAGTTATCACAAGTCGAGCCTGGCCTCGGGACCGGGCTTGGAGAGTAGAAGAACTGAAACCCTCTCCAGGTATGCTCCAGGTATCCAGATTGTGCTAGCTAGGTGATTGATGGTGCTGGCTGGATGAGTAATGGGTGACTTCTGGCTGGGTGAGTAATGGGTGGCCTCTGGCTGGGTGAGTAATGGGTAGCCTCTGGCTGGGTGAGTAATGAGTGGCCTCTGGCTGGGTGAGTAATGGGTGGCCTCTGGCTGGGTGAGTAATGGGTGGCCTCTGGCTGGGTGAGTAATGGGTGGCCTCTGGCTGGGTGAGTAATGCGTGCCCTCTGGCTGGGTGAGTAATGGGTGCCCTCTGGCTGGGTGAGTAATGGGTGGCCTCTGGCTGGGTGAATAATGGGTTCTTACTGGTTATGCGAGTAATGGGTGGTTTCTGGCTGAGTAAATAATAGGTGTTTGCTGGTTGGGTGAGTAATGGGTGTTGGCTGGGTGAGTAATGGGTGCTTGCTGATTGGGTGAGTAATAGGTGCTTGCTGGTTGGGTGAGTAATGGGTGCTGAGTGAATAATTGGTTTTGGCTGTGTGAGTGATGGTGCTGACTGGGTAAATGGAGGGAGGTGACTGGATGAGTGATGGGTGCTGACAGCGTGAGGAGTGGGAGCTGAGTACCTTACAGTACCTTGTGTTTTTACCTTGCGATTACTTTGGTACCAAGGATAAATGTCCCCACGGCCCAATTTGTGACTATGCATTCTTGTCTTGTCAACCAGGCTGTTAGATTCTGCTGCTGGCAGTCCGACAATTTCACCTTGGTTGATCAGATTCCGTTTTACGGGAATTTTCAAGTTAACCCTTGAAGCCCAGTGCCTGAAGCCATACCCCAGTGCTAGAGAGCACTAATGAACAAAGTGCGAGCACAGATCCAGATGGACAAACAGACCCAACACAAAAGGAAGTTAGTGAGCAACAACAGAAATCTGCAAGATTCCCTCCTAAATCTGTCAGCAAAGAGCCACCACAGAGTGTAGTGGAAACAAACCATGATAAGCAAACAAAGCATGAACGGGGAACTTGCCGATATTATGCATGGGATGTATGTTAATATGGGCTGTCAGGAAGAACAAACGGAACCTGACCTTCATACACAATTAAGCATATGCAACATGCAAATATAACCACCCAAAAAACTGCAGGAATACTCTAAATACAGGAACATGTCATTCAGATAATTGCAAATATTTCTACCCAAAACTGTGTAAAAATTTGCTAAACAAGACGGAGTGTTTTAACAAAGATTATCCAGATTTTCATATTAAAGGAACAAAACGAAGAAAATAACCAGCGTTGAATGTAATGAAACACCATTTTCTGGCTGATTCCTGGAGGCTCCCCGGAGCTATCCAGGCTGGATGGATATGTATATCTGTCTGGCATCAGTCAATGCATGGAGTTCTGCCTACCGGGAACCACGAGCCAGAACCTGGCCCCCTCTAGAGAGGCACGAGGAGCAATAGCCTATAGACTCCCCTCCCCCCCTGTGGTTGGGAGCATTCTGTCTGCCATCGACCAGGACAGGCACCCAGAAAGGTAGGCGCCCCAAAATAAACCCTTATTCTGGTAAAATTATTGGGACCGAAAGTGGAACAGGTGGACAGAACTCCCCAAACGAAAATTAGCAAACTAGCATGACGTTATCATGTCGCCACACCGCTGTCTGCGCAACCCCCCCTCCCTCTCCCCGGGAGGGGGAAGGGGGAGCCCCAGACCCATCCGCCGGCGACCCAACCTACAGTTCTTAGGCTGGATGTCAAAAAGCATGAAAAACACCACCGACCGGAGGGAGGGAGGGATGCCGGGGAGCCTCCGGGACTCGCCCAGAAAATGGCGTTTCATTACAATCGACACTGGTTTTCTGGAGAGTGCCCCGTCGGCTCCCCAGAGCTAACTACCCAAAGATAAGGAAAAAACAATGACTTACCTGGGAGGCGGTTCGCCCTCACTCCTCAACGCGAAATCGAGAAACTGGCTGCAACCGCCGACCCAAGGCAACGCAGGCTCTACCTAGCCCTGGAACATTTACCAGGTAGCGAGCAGCCATGACCCTGTTCGACCTCCAAAAACTCTGCTCCCGAATGTCAACCCAAGACATGTGGCCAAAGACGGCAGCCAAAGCCGCAAACTTACGAACGTCGTGGGCACGGGGATAAACCGCAGGCTGGCTAGACTTAATAACCCTGCGGACAATCTGAGAAACCTGAACCCGGGAACAGGGAAGAAGGGAAACCGAGTCAACCCAAAACGCATCCCCGGCCGCCGCAGCTGTGGCGCGCAAATAACGGCGGAGAGCCCCGAACAGACACAACACATGATGCACCTCCAGCCTGACCAACCAAGCATCAACAACCCAAGGCCCCCTCCGAAACACAGCTGTTTCATTCTTCGCCAGAAAAGGAGACGGCTGCAACCGAACAAAACGACCACTAGGACCACCGAAGGAGCAGAAACCCCTGCGCCAGAGGAGAGCATGAAGCTCCCCTACCTGACCCCCAGAAGCCAAAGCCATCAGGAAAAGAGCTTTAGAAAAACAATCCCGAACGGAAGGGGCCACTGTACTGGAGTGAACAATATGGAAGAAAATGCAGAATAGAACCAGTGAAGAGCAGAGGTGAAATAGGCACAATCAGAGAACACTGTATAAACATCAGAGGTCCGCGGCTGTTCAACACCCTCCCATCGAGCATCAGAAATAATGCCGGAACAACCGTGAACATCTTCAAGAGAAAACTAGACTTTTCTAAAAGACGTTCCGGACCAACTGGGCTGTGGTGGGTATGTGGGCCTGCGGGCCGCTCCAAGCAACAGCCTGGTGGACCAAACTCTCACAAGTCAAGCCTGGCCTCGGGCCGGGCTTGGGGAGTAGAAGAACTCCCAGAACCCCATCAACCAAGTATCAACCAGGTAACCACAAACCGAGGAGAAGAGACAAACAAGAGCACCCGGTCCAAGGACCAGGGCTGGACCGATCCGCTGAAAGAGGTGGAGCCACGGAAAGACCCTCGGGTTCGGACACCGAGCAAGCAGCGCCTGAAACCAAGGCTGGGCCGGCCACCACAGAGCCAGAAGGACAACTCTTTCCTGGTAAGTCTCCAAGTGAGCCAGGACTTGGAGCAACAGCTGAACCGGGGGAAAGAGGTAAAGATAACCCCAAGTCGCCCAGTCCTGCCTGAAGGCGTCGACCCCGACGGCCTCACAGTCAGGGAAGGGCGCCACATATACTGGGAGACGCCTCGACAATGCCGACGTGTAGAGATCCACGTATAGAGTCCCGAACGCCTGGCACAGCCAACTGAAGGAGTCAGTGTTGATCATCCATTCCATGGAAAGGGGAAGGAAACGAGACAGGCCGTCCGCCAGGACGTTGGACACCCCCCTGGAGAGCCAAACCCTGAGAACTTTGCAGACGAGTCATCCGAAGCGACCAGCCCCAAAGAGCCAAGGACTGCATCGAATGCCCGCGGTTCAGGCAATGAACCACTGGGGAGCAGTCCGAATGGAGCTGGATCGTTGATCCACGAGCGACTTGAACCCCTCCGGAGCGGCATCCACACCGCCACAAACTCCCGGACCGTGCTGTGAGCCCAAAGAAAGGACGGACCCAACCGCCCCTGGTCGGCCTGGTGAGCACTGGTTACAAAACCCCAGCCAAGAGACGATGCGTCCATGTACACATCGAGCAATAGCTCGGGCAGGCGCCAAGGTACTGAACCCCAAAAAACCCGAAGAGAAAGCTGGTGACGCAGCAAACGATGCAAAGCCCCCGGAGGCTGAACCCAACAATTGCGAGAGAGGCGGAAGGGCCATCCCCGAAGGAACCAGAACAGCTGACGAAGCCACACCTGACCCAGTAGGTAGGCCATCATGGCAAAGTTCAGGCCCCCACACAAACTCTCGAGCATCCGCCGCGTGACCCAGGAACCCCCTAAGAAACAGGTGAAAGCTGGACCACAGGCGAAGCAGAGCTGCCGGAGGCAGAGACAAGGAAGCGATGCGAGCGTCCCAAACCAAACCCAGCCAAGACCGAACCTGAGAGGGAACCAGGTGGGACTTCCTCCAGTTCACCAAGAACCTGAACCTGGCGAGCCAGGAAAAAATGAAACTCCTGGCTAGCAGACATGCGGACCGGCTGGGAGCCCAGACCAGCCAGTCGTCGAGGTAGGCCAACACCTGAACACCTAAAAGATGCAGACGGGCCACCATGACCTGTGTTAGTCATATGAAAATGCGAGGTACCAGGTTCAACTCAAACGGGAGACAACGAACAGGGTAACACTGACTCCCCACAACAAACCCGAGCCAGTCCCTGAACCCCAAATGAATCAGGACGTACCAATATGCGTCCCTGAGGTCCAAGGACACCATCCAAGCACTCGGCTCCAACAGAAGCCAGACCAAGGACAGCATAGTCATCCGAAAGGAGGGGCAATGAACCTAAAGGTTCAGACGGGACAAGTCCAGAATGAATCTCAGGTCCGCACATGGGACTGGAAACAGGCGGGAGACCCACCTGAGGGACGTTGTCGTTTCAACCATGCCTTAGCGAACCCACTCCAAGATGACTTGACAGAGCGCAGGATAAGAGGCCTGTCCCATCAGCCCCACGCCCCCCAAAGGAGGAGGAGCCACCCAACGCCACTGCAGACCATTGGAGACCACCTGAAAAGCCCATAAATCATGAGACTGTGTGAACGAACAGAGCAAGCCTCCCCCAACGCCTCGTCAATGGGACAATCTTCGAAAAGGCTGCTGCCCCTCACAAGAGCTCGAGCCCCGTACAGAGCGAACACTGCATCGACTAGACGAAGGCAGTTCCGAATGCGGCATCGGCCCCGAAACTGGCACCAGTGGCCTACCCCGACGAGCGGAACCCCAAGCCCTGGCACGACCCCCCCCCCCCCCCCGGGGGAAAGCTCCCTCCTCCTGGGGCCCTGGGAGAACCAACAAATCAGACATGGGACGACAACTAGCCGAAGGCGCTTGCAGATACTGCACCACAGCAGAATCCGCAAACAGCAAGGGGCAAAAGGGCAAAGACAACCTAAGGGCCAGGGCCCAGGCCGATTCCAGGGAGGAAGCGAGCACCGCCTGCTGACACGCGAGCCGGGAGTCATAAAACAGCAACACCGCATCCCGCAGGATCGGCGCAAACAGCTTCAACAAAGTATACGACAAGCGAGCCGCCAAGCGCAAGGCACCGGACCCAAGAATGGCCCCAAGCGCCTCTACATCCTCCCCAAGCCAGTCTGAAGACAACGAGGGAAAAGAAGCGCAAAGCCGAAGCAAAGAGGCCACGAGCACGCAAGTCCTCAGCAACCTGCGCAGCCAAAAGGTAAGGGATCTGCTCATGGTCCCAACGCCAACATCCTGAGGAAGGGCAAGAGCAAAGAAGCACTCATTGAGGTGCTCAAACTCGTCCCACAGGAAAACCTGGACCACCGTCAATGCCTCATGCCACTCAAGCATGTGGGAACGACAGAAGGAATGCCATGCCTCCAAACCAAAACCAGGATAGTCCGCCAGCCAGGACGACCCCAGAACCTCATACCAGATCCAGTGGGGAAACGAAGACCCAAACCTGAACGAAGACAGATCCATGATAGAGGCGTAATCCGGGTCACGCAGGAGGTAAGCCGTAAAGGCCGCATGCACCACACCAGGTTGGATGCGGGAAGTCAAAAACCTCCGGAAAGACGAGACTGAAGCACCCGAAGGGAGACGGAGCCGAACCCTGGGAGGGGCAGACACCAAATCCAATTCGTACGCAGAGGGAAGAAAGGAAAACCCCTTTCCTTGTAACAGTAAGGAATGCTCAGAGAGCTGAAAAACCCAGGCGTGTTCCACACCGGCAGGCGCATCCCCCGAGACTGCCCGAGTCTCAAGACCATCTAAACCCTGCCCCAACTTGGAAACCCTCAGACGTTTCAGAGCCAGAAGCAGGGGGGGGGGGGGGCGAAGACCAGACCGAACCACAGGAGGGGAAGAACGAGGGGGCACGGACGAAACCAACTCTGGGTCCCGATAAGCAAAATGGGGCAGCCTCAGGGCTTCCGGCATAGCAACCAACCTAGCGCTTTGTAACAACCTACACCTAACATGCAACGCTTGCGTTGCCTGTACCCGAAGAATGTCATCACTAGACTGGGTAAACTGAATCACCAGCAAGCAACAAAACTTGCAGGACTCCGGGTCGAAGGTGTCACCGACCCAACAGGCAGCATGATAGAGGCAAAAACAATGAGAGTCATCCTGAGACAAGGGAACAGAGCAACCCTCGAACTCGCACAAAGCGAAGGGGGATGGGGGGGACTCAAAGGTCACATCCATCAGACCCACGCGCCCCCTTGGGAATTCCCAGGGTTCTAAAACGGAACTCATGCTCAGGGAAGCCCCAGGCAGGGTACCGCTAACCGGTGCCCAATCTACTAAATGACTTGCTAAGAGCTGAATTCCCCCCGGGATGTGTTCACTCACGGGGACCTAGCAGGGGGAACCACCTGAAGAGAATTTAGTACCCAGGAACTGTACACAGGGGGGCAACCAAGGCAGGCCCCTCCCCCACCAGGCAGGAAAAAAAAAAAAAAAAAAAACCGCAAGAGGACAGCGTACCCAGGCGGAACAGAGCCGGTCGCTATGAATGGTGAAAACAAGCTGCGCAGTACCCTACACCCTGTACCAGTGCAAACTGCCCCTTACCCTAAGGTAAACAAGGGATACAAAAACATCCCAGCACAAAAAGGGCGGCCAAAAACCCAGCAGTAAATGGCCTAGCAATGGCAGAACCCAGGGAAGTTGTGGAAGGAGGCCCCAAGCCCCAAGGACAGTACTTACTGGGCACCTAGGGAAGGGAACCCTAGGCACATGCAGCCCAAGTACTGAAGAATATCTCCTGGCTTGTGCACCACCTAGTAGATGGTCACCACACATAAGGCACTGGAGCCAGAGCACACGACCGCTACCTATAGTATCAGCCTCAGAACTAGGGTGTGGATAGCCGGCGCAAGGATCTGGGGCTCCCCCTCCCGGGTAGGGGGGAGCTGTGCAGACGGCGGCGCGGTGACGTGTAACGTCATACTCATTTGCTCGTTTCTGTTTGGGGAGTTCTATCCACTTGTTCGGCTTTCTGTAGCAATTTTTACCAGAATCGGGGTTTGTATTGCGACGCTTACCTTGCTGGATGCCTATTCTGGTAGATGGCAGACATAGAATGCTTCCAACCACACGGGGGTTTCTATAGGCCATTGCTTCTCATGCCTCTATTGGGAGGGGGGGGGGAGGTTCTGGCTCGTGGTCCCCGGTAGGCCCACAGAACGCCATATACATGACTGATGCCAAAGTCTGACATTGGCATATCAACCTGGATAGCTCTGGGAAGCTAACAGGGCTCCCCCCAGAAAAATTCAGAGTTACCATGACCTTTACAGTGTAATTGATTACTCCAAGCATTATTTTATATTTGTCCATTTTGTGGTATGAAAAAAAAGTGCTGGTGGACCCTGTGGTGGGCCCTAGGCCATGACTTACTTGGCCTATTGTGTAATCCAGTAAACAAAGGTGATCAGGTGTCAAAAGGAGGATTATTTATTGTTAAAAGGAAGTTTTTGTTGTGATACATATATAAGCCCTTTGTTAGGTTCTAGGACCATGATTCTTTTATCACTCAAAATGAAGTTAATTGAGATTGTCTCTGTCTCTCTAATTATATATTTGATTTCTTGTTGGTGTTGACTATAAAGAATTTTGTCTCCTGACACCAAATAGAGATTCCACGTTAAGAAGATTTGGATCAAGGTCTATAGTTTACCATACCAGGCATGTAGTATTTTTATGTATACTGTATTTCCATTTGTATGGGAGGGTTTTAGAATTGTGAAACATTAGAGTAACAGGAGAGTATAATCAACAGGTTTGTTTAAGTCAAGTGGAACCAGTTCTGCGGTTTTGTGTCAAGTTTTACACACCGGATCCGGCCCAGCTTGAAGAGGAGTACACACGGTACCTCTTTGCTCTCCAGATCAAGCGCGACCTTGCCCATGGTTGGCTCATGTGCAATGACAACACTGCCGCACTCATGGCCTCATATATTGTTCAAGGTAAGCCAATCTTCCTTTCAAAATACTCTTGGTACTGTACTAGGTAAGACTGAAATAAAATACACAATGCTGTATGTTATGAGAGAAAACTGGGTAAGTGAGACAACAGACAAACTTGACTTGAAAAATTGGACACTACTAGAGTCTAAAGAGTTTTTTAATGGACTTGAATAGAATTGTTAACTGAGGAAAGGTTTATTTATACAATTAATATACAGTACCAGGTGCACTGTTGTAGTATGCATTGAAATTAAGGTTCCATTTACCTGTACACAGGTCTTTGCAAATTTTTAAGTGTTGAAAACTGAATATTTTTTTAGCTGAATGTGGAGACTTTGTTGAAGAGGACTACCCTGACCACCGCTACCTCTCCTTGTACAAGTTTGTTCCTTCTCAAGACCCAGAGTTAGAGAGAAAAATTATGGAAAATCACAAAAAACATGTGTAAGTAATATAGTTTCTTTTTTGTTGAAGCACTGCATGCAGGAAATTCTTTGTTAGTTACTTTGCATGACTTTTTCATGCAAAAAGTTTCGTACTGTTCAGATGATAGTAGTCCCTAGTTTTTCTGCCATATTTTTGGGTAGTGTGGGGTGAACATGCTTCCAGTTCACCATTGTTTGTTCTCAATGACTTGGTGATGGTGGTTACCTTGTTGATTCTGGGGGTCAAGGTCACCACGGTCCAGTCTCTGACTAGGACTGGTGGGCACAGAATATTTCTTTGCAATTTACAGCAGTAGTTTAGTAAAGCTTTTGGTAAATATATAAGAACTTTTTTATTAAAATATAAAAAATATGTGATAACAAACTTAGTTTTTGGTAATTTACATGAGTATGGTGCCCACATAGCATGATGTAACTTAAGCGATCTCCCTCTGTGTTTGTCACCATTGTGGAAATACTCTCTCGTGTTGTATACATTTGTTCAATGTTTAATGATGTAGAACTTTAACAACTTTAACAAAGATCTGGGAGTAATCATGTCAGAAGACATAACGTGTAAGAACACAATGATGTATTTGTCACAACTGCAAGAAAAATGACAAGTTGGATAACAAGAATCTTTCAAACATGAGATTTCAAACCAATGATATTTTTAACATCCTATTGCTCTCTAGGGTAGAATATTGTTGCACACTAACAGCCACAATCAAAGCTGAAGAAATTGCTGACTTGGAGAACGTACAAAGGTCTTTTATTGCCAGTATCCACTCAATAAAAAACCTAAATTATTGGGAATGCTTAAAATTTTAAAATCTGTATTCCCTAGACTACAGGCTTGAGAGATGCTTAATAATTTACACTTGGAAAATATTAGAGGTCTGGTTCCAAATCTGCACACAGAAATAACTCCACATGAGACCAGAAGTCATGATAGAATGTGCAAAATAGTTCTGTGGAAAAGCAGAGGTGCAATAGGTGCGCTGAGAGAAGATTTTATCAACAAGTGTGCAAGATTTTTCAACATTCTCCCTCTAAATATAAAGAGTATAGTTAGCTGACTTCTCATGATGTTCAAAAAGTAAAATGGATAAACACCTCCAAAGAATTCCTGTTAAACTGGGCTGTGATTCACACATCAGGCTGCGAGCAGCTGCTTTTAACAGCCTGGTTGACCAGACCACCAACCAGGAGGCCTGGTCAGTGATTGGACTGTAGGGATGTTAATCCTCAGCATCAACGAAACAAAAGGTATGGTAACCCACTAGTAATCATGAGTAAGTCCATCAAGTATTAGTGGTGTCTCAAAACCAATGAAAGCCAGGAAAACCACTAGTTTTGGCAATTGGTTTCAAGATTTGGCAATGTTTGAATGTTGTTGTTATTGCCTTTTGATGCAAGGGGTAATGATGGAACTAGATGTGTTTTAGAGTTTGACTTAACACGTGGCAGCGAGGGCTGGATGATTTGTTGATGGTGTTGGCTGACTGTTGCTGTACTTCATAACTAGGGGTTACGTGTTCCATGTATGAGTGTCCCAGTGGTTTGAGTTGTATGAATAGGTCAGATGTGGCCTAAATTTTAGGTTGACTGGAGATATTTAGCCAATGCTTTGCTACTTAATAATTTATATGCGATGAGTGAACTTCTCCTCCAATATATGCTCGATACTAAAGGCATTTTGAGGTTGATAAGTACTTGTTTGAATTTACTTCTGGCACTATAATGTCTGAAACAATGAATGAGGTAATGTTCAATTACCCCCCTGGAACATGGTAGTGGATGCAAAGTTCATTTATGTCTGTCCTGTACAGTATTTATAGCTGTGTGGTGTGTCCCAGCCCTAGTCTGGTCATTGTTAATATGTAGTGTCCTGTTTTATGTCTGGCGTGCTTCCAAGTTTCCCAGGTCTTTTTAATGGTTTCATAGTATATTGAAGTATATTGAAATATACTACTGTATGTTTCATAGTATGTATGTATACTATGAAATATATATATATATATATATATATATATATATATATATATATATATATATATATATATATATATATATATATATATATATATATATAACTTTTTTTAGAGTTTTCAGTTGCATATTGTCCTGGGGACCATTCAGGCTTGTTCGCATATATATATATATATATATATATATATATATATATATATATATATATTTCATATATATATATTTCATATATATATATGAAATATATATTTCATATATATATATATATATATATATATATATATATATATATATATATATATATATATATATATATATATATGAAATATATATTTCATATATATATATATATATATATATATATATATATATATATATATATATATATATATATATATATATATATATATATATATCTATCCATTTCACTGCAAAGTTTTGTGTGATTGTGGATTTTAGGCCTCCTTTCTGTGGGGAGCCCCTACGGCTCCCTGGAGCTTATCGGGCTAATGTGTGTTATGTTAGACCGGGACATTAGCTAAGGAGTTCAGACCTACCAGGGACCAGCGCCAGAACCTGGCCCCTTCAGAGAGGTTTCAGGGAGCAATGGCCCTGGAAAACCCCATATGGTTGGGGGTTTTCCTTATCTGCCATCGACCGGGGTTAGGCACCCAGAAAGGTAGGCGTAACAAAACAAACCCCACATGGTAAGAAACTACAACAAAAACCGAACAGAGAGGTAGAAAACTCCCTACAATCCCAAGGAAACAAGCAAACAAGCAAACATCACACTTTACTGCCGCGCCGATCGTCCGCGCAGCCCTCCCCACCCCGGGAGGGGGAGGGGGGAGCCCCGGACCTACCGCGCCGGCTGCCAAGCTCCAGTTCGTTCGCTAATGTCAACCGGGATTGACGCTTCTCTGGCCTCAGTTTCCTAGGCGGTGTTTGCCTTGTGTGGCGTTCACTGCCGTGTGTTGTGGTGTGCGGTGGCCAGGAGTACTTCATCAGTGCTGGGGCTGCATGTGCTTAGTGGCTGACTTCCCTAAGCGCCCTGTGAGTACTGCCCTTGCGTTACAGGGTTATCTTCCCTGGGGCGTTCGGGAACCATTCCCGTAGAGGTTCTTGCTGCTCGGCATTTGCCTCGCCCTTGGGGCCAGCTGGGGCTTGGGGCCCTTGTTTGGCCCTGGGTAGGGATTGGTATTGTGCTGGTTAGGGCGTCAAGGTGTTGCGCAGCCTGCCACCTAAGCGGCGGCCGGTTTCTGTTGCCTCTGGAGACGGTGTACTTTTGCGGGGTTTTTCTTTTGTTTTTCATTTTCTTGCCTGGTGGGGGTCTGCCTAAGGTGGTTATAGTTCCACTGGTAGTGTTTGGCGGCCCTCTGCTAGGCCCCCGTGCTTGTACACGTCTCGGGGGTTTTCAGTGCTACAATCTACCCTCTTGTTATGTTTGGGTTTCTTAACCGGTTAGCAACACCTTGCCCGGGCTTCCCGTAGTTGTTACCCTACGGGCCCTGGAAACCCCTGTCTGGGCTCGGGGGACCATTGAATGTGTCTTCCGGGTTCCAACCCGTCTTGTACGGGATCGTTGGTTGCTGTTCCCTTGTCTCCGGGTGACAGTCGCCATTTTTACCTCCGTCATGCTGCCTGTTGGGTCACTGACACCTTGACCCGGAGTCTTGCGAGTGATTCTCTGCTTGTTCTCCAGTACTCTCCTGATGTTATTACTGTTCAGAGTACAGGCGGCATCCGTGTTGCAAGCTAGGTTAGGTTGCTGCAACATGCTAGGTTGGTTTCCCACTCGAATGCCCCGTGGCCGCCCCGTTTGGTTAGGTGCTGCTCGCCCCTTTCTCTCCATGTTCCCGGCTCCGGACCGTCTGCGTGTTTCTGGGTCGGGGCGGGGTTCAGTTGCGGCAGAGACTCGGGCGGTTTTCGGGGGATGCCCCGTTCGGGTTGGGGACGGAGGTTTGAGCCTGTGCCTCCTGCCAAGGCTTCTGGGTCTTACCAGCGGCCCTTTCTTGTTGCCTTTCCCATGGGCTCTTGCTTTTCTTTAAGGGCGGAGGGCTTGGAGGCCGGCTCTGCCCCGGGGCCTCTGTTGTTGGTTCCCGGGGCTGTGGGGGATGCCTACTAGCAGTTCTGGGGCGGTTTTGCCCCTTCAGGGGTTTTTCTGCTGTTGGGCGTCGTTTTTCGCCCTTCCAGTCTGCTAGCTTCCCACATTTGCTGGCGTGTTTTTGTGTATTAAGCGTCAGTCACAGCCCCTGCTGGCGGCCATTTTCGTCTGCCGGTTTCCCGGCGTGGCCACCAGGGCGGCGTTGCGGTTTGTTTACATGCGTCTGGGTGTGCGAGCGAGCGTCTCTGGTGAGTTTTCAAAAAATTTGCAGGGTTTTTGTTCTCCTGTTGTCGTTTCTTTGTTTTCTGGTGTTTTCTTGCCGTTGCCTGTTCCTCTGGGAACGTTTGGGTGTTGATTTTGGGTCTGAGCCTCTGGGTTTAGGCTCAGTGCCCCTGGCTGGTATGCTTGCTCCCACACCTTGCCCCTCGGTTTTCGGTCTGTTGGGACCGTTTTCCCAGGGCGTTCTGCTGGGGTCTGTGCTTTGCCTTTTAGTGGTGTTCTCCGCCGGCAAATGTGGTGGTTTGGGCTCCCCCTGGTTCGATTCTGGGTTCCTTTGGGTTCCTTGGTTTCGTTCTGGAGGTTTCTTCCTCTTGGGCCCCCTTTTGTGGGTTCAGGGGACTTTGTTTCCTCGAGTGACCCGGTTCTGCCTTTTGGGGTTCCGGGGTCTTCCTGGCTTGCAGACTGAGCTTTTTGGGTCTTGGCACATGTTGTGGTTGTGCTGGGACTTTGTGGTTTTGCTGTCGAGGTGGGCCTTTTGATGCAGTTTTGTGCCTTCTTTGCCTGGCCGGCGTAGTGCTCTTTGCCACTAGTCGGCGGCTTGTGCTTTTACAATATATGTCCTCACCTAGTTGTGCTTGTGGGGGTTGAGCTCTGGCTCCTTGGTCCTGCCTCTCAACCGTCCGTCAACAGGTGTATCGGTTCCT